TCATTCTCTGCCAGAACAGGATCCTGATTAAATTGTATTAATCAGCTGGTGTAAATGGCTTTCAAGAGAGCGAGAGGAAAGTGAACAGCAGGGGAAACGAGTAAGTGAAGATTGCTTTGGTGTTGCTTGCCTGATTTAAACCGGATCTTGATAGCTGGGGACTAAGAGGTGAATATGCTCAGTTTTTCTGGCTAGTCGTAAGGAGTGGCTTTTGCAGGAACCCGATCGTCTTGACTTTGCCATTCTGATCGCCAGCTGTTCCTTTTTTACTCCACTTACCCCCCCCTCTGTTTCTTATCAGGTACTGTTACAGATGCCTATCTTTCTAATGGTGCCTTTGAAGATTCAACCCCCTCTGCCTTTAGGATTTGGGGATGATGCAAGTCATTGATTTTTATTTTTATTTTTTTTCTCCTTCTCTCTTTTGAGAGCCTTTTATTGCATCTTTAGCTGGTGCGTGTCTACCCAAAGACTATCAATAGCGTCCTGGTGCGATCAAAACATTTAGGTCGATAGGAGGGTTAATAAGCAGTTTTTGAACCATACCTTTCCACCTCGCTGTCCGGCAGGTGAGCAGCTGCACTGGAACCAGAATATGGCTGGAGGAGCGACTTCCTCCTCTCGCAGCTTCTCCTTCTCCTCCCCCGCCCGTCCCGCCTTCCAATCCTCTATCCTCTTTTCCCCAGCACAAAGCTGCTCAGTTGTTCATGAATGTCAGCTCAGTGCTGGCAGCACTCTCTATCTTTCCCTCCCTCTCCCTCTTCACCCGTCCTTAGACTCTCAGCCTCTCTCTTCCTCCCTCACTCCTTATCTCCCTTCCTTAGTTCGCTTAGTGTGCAAAGGAAGAACGACTGCAAATGAGTTCCTTGAACCACAGGGACCCCAATAAATAAAACTGTCAGCCAGAGATGTCGAAAGGGAAAAAAAAAAAAAAGAAGGAAGGAGCCAGAGGCGCACTCTCACTGAATATTTCATCACCCACCACCACCACCACTACTACTCTGACACCTTACCCTCATTGCCAGCATCCCCATCCCCCCTTACCATCCTTGTTCCCTCCTTTTTTCATGCCATCCCCCCCTTCTCCTTCTCCTCCATCTTGTCTCCACCCCTCCTCGCCCAGCTGCCCCTTATCATATTCTCTCCCATTACTGCATAGCAACCAAAGTATCATACAAACCCCACCTCCTGGACACCCAACAACTAAAACAAAATGGCTGAGAGCACTGTTTCTGGGGTCACTTGTTAGAGAGGTGGGTCTGACGGCTACTAGATGGAAGAGCCATTTTTCAGTACCTGTATATTGCTAAATAAGCTTATCCGTGCAGTTTTTGGTGAGTATAATCAACTATGTTTGCGGTCAGGAAATGCACACCTTATTTGTTAGGCATGAACTCCTCATGCTGCTGCTTCATTATAAGGAGAACACTGGAGTGCTGGTTTCTTTCTGTCTGCCTTGACAAAACCCGGGGTCTCCATTCTCCTTGTCCTATGACTCTCCTTCATAAGTTGCTTTCATAAAGGACTGGAATTTGTACAGCGTCCTTCAAAGACCAAGGTGGAAATAGAATTGGAGGTCTGTTGCAGACTTAAAGACAAGCTATGAAGCGCTTTTTTGTTTGCCTGTGATGTTCCACAAAGCGCTATCTGGTGTTTGTCCTGACGTCAATGGTAGCCAGCCACGTTGGCTGTCTTGACTGTGCTCCTGAGAGCAGACAGGCATGTTTGGACTGGAGCTGAGCTTCTAGCCCAGACCTCTGGGATTCATTCGCTAGCCAGCTTTCTAGCAAGACAGTGCCCCTTTTCCCCTCCACCCCCCATCTCACACACACATGCACACACATACATATATATATGCACTCTCTAACGCTCTCCCCTCCCCTTGTTTCTCTCATAGTCTCTGTCCGTCTGGAAAAGGCTTGTTGTTACATGATCACTCTCGCCAATCTAGCCTCTGGCAGGCAGGGCGCACTGTATCATCCTCCGCCTCCTCCCTTCCCTTAGGAAACGGGCCCTATTTCAGGTGTTCCACTCCACAGCTCCCGGCTCCCAGCTACACAAGCTGTTCGCCCTCCTTTTCGGGAATTGTCAGGGAGACGGCGTGTCAGATGAAAGTGATGTAGCTTTTTGGTTTGGACGAGTGGAATTCCACACCTGAACGTTTAATTTGGGTCTTTCTCAAAGCTAACCGCAAATATATGAGAGTGTCCAATGGAATTATAGTAGTTGCGATGTCCCCTGTCATTTTCCCTGCAAATGAGATGTCTGTGTTTGTGTGGGTTTGTGGCCTTTTAATTTCTTGCCTAAAAGAAGAGGTTCTGGTGGGTGGTGTATGCATGGAGACCCCATATGAGTCACATGGTCACACACATTTTTAGCTCTCATATACATGTGAAGGTTTGTGTGAGCAACTTCTAAATTGACTTTATGAGTCAACGACTGAGACTCTGAGACCTGGAGTGACAAAAATCAACTGGAGGCGGGAAAGAAGGAAAAAAGGTGTGAGGAAGCGAGCTTGCTTCTTTCGCAGGCTAATTTAAAACCTGCTATGTGGTGTTGGGAAGTAGGAGTACATGAATTCTGTCTTGTGGTTTTGAATAATCCACCCCAGTCATTATAAAGGTAATCAAGCCTCCTCTCTGTTTGTCTTGCTGTCATCACAGTTGGTCTTTTTCTCTCACTTTTTCTTGCATGTGCTTGTATACAAAGAAAAACGGTGATAAAGCAAAGATCCTGTTCATACTTGGCTCTTGGCGTCTTGGATGTTCCTTTCTTGGAAAGAAATAGAAGTACAGCTTTGCAGTCTCCTTTGGTTTCATGCAAATTTTGACCCTATGACATTCACTCTGACCAGCTGTGGAGGTACCCAGAAGTCATGGTGGTCGTTCCCTCCCCCTCCATGTCACAGTGTAAATTTGAGCAACATGTATCCTTTTAGCAGCAGTTGCATTTTCTCTGCAGATAAAATCAGATCTGTGCAGGGAGGTAAAAACTGATCTCACATGGTTCCTGGAAACAGGATTCTGACGCGAAGTGTGAAATGTAACCTGTTTGAACTGGACGTCGACTCAGCCCGAATATATTTGGATCTAGGATCAGAGGTCTATAACGGATACCCACAGGGGTGTCCCCCCCCCCCCACCTTCTAAACATTGGGTTGACGATCTCCCTTGGGGCTTTCGATTTGTATGCATGCTGCTCTGCGTGTTGTGGGTTGACAAACTGTCGACACTTACTCTTGACAGCTGTCAGTCACAGACACAGTCATTGTCTCCTCCCCCTCCTCTGGTCTTTTCTTCATCTCTGTCTCTCCCCCCACCCACCTTTTGGAGCAGGCCTCCCCATTAGGTCTCAAACACATGCACACCTCTTCTCCTGACCTTTTATGTACGGAGTTTCCTAGCGATGTCACATGTAGCCCCCTGCGCTGTTCTCCTCCTCACTTCACACCCCACCTCGCGCCTGCTGAGCGTATCGCCTCACCACGTTGGGGTAATCGTGGTGAGTGTGGATTGTCAATAAATCATTAGTGGCTGACTTTACATTCTGAGAAGTTTGAGTTTCTCTTTATCCAGCAGCGTATTTTATTCCGATTTTTGCTCTAGCCATCAGATCATCCCAACCCCTTAGTTCTTTCACCTGCCCCTCCTCTCCCTTCATCCTCTTTTTCCACATCATGTCAATACCAATGTCCAAAGGTCACCCTGGCAACAGAGAGGCAGCGGTCGATGGAGAAATAAATAAGCAGAAGAAAAGAGAGAGATGTGATGGAGGGCAGAGCCTGGTGATTCAGAGGGTTAACTACAGGCGAGCATCTTACAAGGACACTCCAAATATAAGCCCTTTGCGCAGAATTTTTTTTTCTTTTTATATATTATTTTCTGTGCTTTGTTATTTATATACATCTATCCCTGTGCTCTGTTCTGCTTTTCTGTCCGTCCTCCCTCTCTCTCTGGGGACTAAAATCACACATGCGGTAGTGATTGTTGAAATCTTTTTGGACAGGAGCGCCACTTTGTATTTGCTAGTGCTGGCCATTTCTGCTTGTTTCCATTTAGGGAGAACCTGAGTCATTATTGCTGAGTCTTCAAGACCCACTGAAGCTTTGTGACTCCTGAATCACACTCACTTGGGGGGGGGGAAAAAGTAAATAAATACATGTCAGACTCTCGTTGCTTGGACTTCAGCAGCAAGTCACAATACACAGCATGAGAGCCACAGGCATACAGGAGGACGACAAGAGAGGTTTTGTTATTTAGCACGAATATTCCAGCCGAGTCGTGACAACTCTGTACTTGTTAGTGTGTGTGTGTGTGTGCGTGTCCATCCAGGCCTTGGGTGGGTCACTGAAGGCCCCCGACACTTGGCTCCAGTTAGCTGTTGCCAATGCTCCAAACATGGGCATCCTTTCCTGATCTGCTGTAGATTCACAGACAATTGACTATTCTGTGTTTGAGATGCAGGCGGGGTGGATTTCCTAAACGTGGGACTGATTTTTCAGGCCATGGGCCAAACAGAAGGGTGGCCTTTGTCTTTGAGCTGAATAACCCTGCTGACTAAGAACGGACTGAGTGGCAATGGGAAGCAAGGAATAGTGGGTTCTATTTGTGTGTATGTGTGCGTTTTCCAGTAGGCCTCCCTATCCATTCCCTGCTAACAGAAGTAAATAGATGACTATTGCAGACTAGTGTTTGACTGCACGATGAGCTTATGTGGTGTGTCTGTGTCTCTGTGAGAGGGGTAGCTCAAAGAGCTGTTGTGTGGCATCCATGGCCCAGATTGTTCATTTACTAAGAAGGAAGTCTGTATGCATGGGGAGCCTTTCTAGTTCCATAGTTTTTTACAGTGAACAGTTGTAAATGCCAGAGTGGCATTAAATCTGGATATAGAGCATCATATATTAAGTTAGACTTTGTCATCTGGCTAAGCTGTGTTGATACCTTGCATAAAAGCAAAGACATTGAATCACTTAACCCTTTTTCCCCTTTCTTTATCAATAGGTCAGTGACTTCCTGTCTGGTCGCTCTCCCCTCACCTTGGCGCTGCGTGTAGGTGATCACATGATGTTTGTCCAGCTCCAGCTGGCAGCGCAGCAGTCCGGTGGTCCCCAACTCCAGCACAGGCACCTCATCACCCGGGGAAATTCGGAGGGACAGCCCCGGGTTCCCCACACTCACCCGCACTCTCATCAACCCCCCCAGCATCCACATAATCACCCCAGCCCCCACTTGTCCCATCCTCACCCTATCCCCTCCTCCCCTTCTTCCCCAGGATCCCCTTCTTTTCCCCTGCCCTCCACACACCTCCAGTCCCTTCCTCCCATGTACCACCAGTCGCCCTCCTCTGCTCACTGTAGCCCCCCTACTCCTCCACCACACTCCCCTCGCCCATCCCATGTCCCTGGGGGTCTTTTCCGCTCGCCCGCTCATCATCACCACCACCCCCACCACCACCATCATCACCACTACCACCAGCCTTCCTCAGGCCAACCCAGCCACGAGATCGGCCAGGTCAGCCCTGTAGCCCCAGTCCTCTGCCCTGAGGTAAGCCTCAAGAAAATATTCTTATAATTCTTCCTAAGTAGTGTTTTGTTTTTTTTCTTTAATAATAGCCAATCACAGCATAGGATTGGTAAGATATTGTCTTATATTATTTTCTCAAATAAAAGGGTTCAGTGGTAAAAGTAGGTACATCTTTACAATACATAAGAAAGGCACAGGCACTTGGGCTGCCATGAGAACGATAGAGTGGATGGGTTATGACCATTTGACCCAAGTGCCATCCTCACAACTAAATCATTCTCCATTAAATCAATTAGATTAATGGGACATCCTTGTAGCACGAGGGTGAACCCGTGGTTTAGTCAGCTCTGGAGAAGCGTTACATGTGATTTTGCGTGTGTGTGTGTCCAAACCACAGTACATTTGTTCATCACTGGAGTATACTGTGCTCCCCAAATGCATGCAAACAAGCCAGCACATGCGTACACCATGAGAACACAGCATTCATATGACCTCAGTCTTCCCTGGGTAAAGAGCAGTGGGCTAAAATTATAGGAGCAAAAGTGTTCTGGTGTTGTCATTTAACTTTCAGCGTTATGCTCATTTGTTTACCTTAGGATAACTTCATGAACAGCTGCACACACATGCAGAAACACACTTCCTTCTGTTCTTCAACCCAATGTGCTGTTTATATTTTCTGTACCTCCTTGAATAGTGAATGGTAACCAAATATCAGCGAACTGTGTGGGAGAGATGGTTCACTACAGGAAAAATAAGGAGACAGGCCAGTTTAGTAGTGAGAAAACGGATATGGCTATTCCTCATCAGGCTTTCACATGCATGACAAAAGGACATGCATACGCACACAACGCGTTTTCTTGGGGTTTCAGTTTCGCTTTCAGATGTCAGTTGAGCAATCCATGTTAAGCCAAAGTGAAGTTGTGAGGTGACCATCTTTAGTTTGATCACAGTAAAGTAACCAAATACCTTAAGTCTTAAGCTATATGGCATGGCAGCAAGCTTAAATTTCCTGTTGTCTGAGGTTTCTTATAACCATCAGCCTTAACTGCAGAGGTTAATTACACTGTGCAAATGGTAGTTACACCCAGAGGTAAAGGGTAAAGGTCACTGAGGGAGCTCCTGAAACAGTGATTTTGAGTTTTCACAGCTTTTACTGTAATAGATCATATGCCCTTGTATCCTCAAACATGCTTTGGTCTCACTTTATGCTCTTTTAATAACACTTTTCTTTTTCCCCCTTCAGGCTAACTGCAGTACCAACAGCTCCAACAGTGGCACCAGTTCCTCGCCACGCTCCCGTAAACCCGGCGCCATCATTGAAAGCTTTGTCAACCATGCTCCCGGAGTCTTCTCAGGGACTTTTTCAGGTAAGAAAACAGAGCTGCCATTACTGACTTATGACTTATTGCTACTTTAAGCATCAACTGTGCACATAGTGAGATCCAGTTCTAAGATGCCTCTAAGTAGAACTTGACAAAATTTAACATTTTCTTCTCTGTTGGGCCTTTGTTTTAGACTTGTACGCATGCCAGTTTTAAATGTTTAAATTTTTTTTTTTTTTAAATCAAATGATATACAAACATTATACAAAACAAATATAGCACGCAACCATTATAATAGTATTTTGGTCTGTTTTGCTTCCTCTCACAGGCACTTTGCACCCAAACTGCCAGGACAGCAATGGGCGTCCCAGACGGGATATTGGGACCATCTTGCAAATCCTCAATGACCTCCTGAGCGCCACACGCCACTACCAGGGCATGCCCCCCTCCCTCACCCAGCTCCGCTACCAGACGCAGTGTGGTTCGCCCACTTCCCCATCCCCCTCGCCGCCTCCCTCCCCTCCAGTTGCTGGCATGACGGGCCTCTCTGCCAAAGCTACCTCTGTGCCCGCCAGCAGCCCTCCTCCAGCTCTGCATCCACTTGTGCAGTGCGAGAGCCAGATTCGCATGTGCAAACCCCCTGGTGAGTGACTCCACTCCACTCCCCTTCTGCACATGCAAACATGTCATGAGCACAAACAAAAACACCCCCTCACACATTAAGTCATTGTGCATCCCTTGAAGCCCTTATGAAGCAGATGTTCCTGCAGTTGCCACAGCTTTGGAGGAATGTGTGTGTGTGTGCATATGTGTGTAAAATTGCATGCAATTTAGAACCCTGTCAGTGAGTTCTGCATTTGCCTTGCAACCTACTGAAGAGTTCATTGTTATCTTTGTCTCTGTTTCTGTTCTCATATCACATCATGTTTAGCTCAGTTCTGTTGGGATGCTTTTACATCATTGTTTTCAAGTGCTTATTTTCATCTCTAAAATACTGACAAAGCGAGAACAGAAAAGTCAGATTAAAGAACAAAAACAGTCATGCATATGTGTCTCTGGAGGTTTTGAAACAGATGAGAGAAGAGGAAGAGAGCGGAGGGGGAGGGGGGGTCTTCTTAGTAATGCAATACTAGCTTCTCCAGACCTGTTCAGTCAGGCTTCACTTGTCAGGCAATGGAGTTGCCTTTTTGTCTTTGTGAGCTGAGGGGATAGGTTTTACCCCTTCAAGCCTGGGCTGGGCTGTGTTTATATTAGAACAGGTTTGGGGTGATGTAGCCTACCTCCTAAATACGGGCTGCAGCTTGGGCATGTATAGACCTCAACATACCCACGAGAGTTTGGTCGAGGCAGGTGTAAAGTTCAGATGATGCCATTTAAGGACTGGGCTGGGATGTTTTAAAACCTCCTTTCCTTACAGCGACACAGGATGTTGTGTGTCAAACAGATGTCCAGCGCTGATAACATCCAGTCAGCATTGTAAGCTTGGTGTGAGTGGACTGAGGAAAACATCATTGTCCTCTGCCTCCTTATCTCAAGCTAGTCTTCAATGAGCTGCTAAATTTGCACAAAATTTACCAGCGTAAGTAGAATTGTCTTGTGGGAAGGATTGTAGAAATTATTAATTAATGTTTAATGTTTTCTTCTGTTTGGAAAAAGCAAGAGCATACATACCTATTGTTGTAGGCTGGCTTTGTTCCTTGTTTTCTGACCTTTAGTTGTGAGCAGAATGAAGGATTTCAGTTGTTGCTTCTAAACACTGACTCGCTGTGAATGTCCAGTATTTCACTGCATCGCCCTTAGTGCATTTACAAGTGTTCAGTGAACAGTTGGAATAACACAAGCTTATTTTCCTAACTCAGGAAAGACCATTCCTTTACTGCCCCCACCTATTGACTCACCCCCATCCTACCCCTCTTCTCCCTCTTCAGTCTTGTCATTTCTCGTCATCTCCGCTCAGCCCAATGCCACTGCCCCCACCCCGATTTGCTATCCAAAAACAGTCTGTAAAATCCATCTCTCTGTCTTCCTCCTAATCACCCCCTTCTTTTTCCATGTCTGTGTTGTGCATCAATACATTGTCTGTGTTCATTTGGCCTTTAAATAGATTTATTCCAAAATGCAGCTCTGAAAAGAATTTGCTTTGTGAACTTGAGGCCAGAGAGAGGAGGAGGGGGACAACGCGGAAGATGGGGGTTGTTAAAACCACAACACTAAGCCTCCATTCATTCATCATATGGGTGTTTATATCCTGTCCGTCAGTCCACCAACTGTCCACTCATTAACCAAAGGCAAAGAGTGAAAGAATAGCCTGTCTACTGCCATTTTCCAATTTAACTGGCCTGAACCAACTTCCTGCTCACAATATGCACTTCCAGAAAGCCTTGAATGGTGACCTGTCCAACTAAGCCTGGTTAAGACAATGATTGTCCTGGTGTGTTGTGTGAACAGGGGCTATGTGCCTGTTTGTATCCTGCTCTAGTTGGTGTTCTAAATATGCCGATGACTAAGCGGTCTCAGTCGGTCTTATCAGCCGACACCTGATGCAAGACTTACTGGACTTAACACCGCAGCTTAACTCTGCTTCACAGAAACCTGCCTTCATTCAGCTACAGGAAAAAAGCCTGCGCTTCCCAGCTGCCTGAATATGTGTGCGCAATCAAACTTGGGTTGAGAGAGCCTCTTGAAAATGTCACAAAGCTTTTCTGTCTCCTGAGGGCCTTTACCTTTTGGTGAAGAAGAGGAACGTAAATTAAAAAAAAAAAATGCACACACACTCCATCACAAATTTCCTGGTTAAAGGCTGTGACGACTAGCTTGGTTTCATGGTTTTGCTATATAGTATTGCTGAGTTCTAGGGCTTTTTTTAGACCAGGACTTGTGTTGAATTTGAACAGGAGGGTTTTAGAATGGCCTGACAGGTTGATTGTTAGCTAAATTCCTTTGCTGAGTAGGCTGGACTTCCCCAGCATCCCCCCTACATCCCACTAGCCCCCTGCCCAGTCTAACCCTTTGTGTGGGGGCCAGGGACAGGGGCAGTATAGAGGGCACCAGCCTGAACCATTGTGGGACAAAAGAGGGGAGGGCTATGGGATTATAGGGTTGCCTTTTAGTCTCACTCCCACTGCAGCTGGCTTAGCTCAGGCACACAGAGAGGGGCAAAGCGGGGGCAAAGTTGGCTCTGGAAGCTTCTCCGAACCCCCTTCCTCTCTTGTCTCTTCCACATCCCTTCACCACCTCCTAACCCCTTTCGATTTGACATGTCAGGTCATGTTAGCTTTGTGCAGGCTGGGACTGCGCAAGCCAAAGGAAGAGGGAGGGTGGCAAAGAATGAGGGACACGCATAGAAGGAGTCTTTGCCCTTAACCCCACTGCGTCCTGTATTTAAACCCTGACCTGCTTAGCCGAGGCATGGCGCATTATCCACTGGCAGGCTTTAGCTCCTCTCGTCACACACAGACATTTACCGGGACACACGTGCACCAGTAACGCAACAAATGCCCCAGCGATGCAGCACAGCACAGAGATACCTAGCAAAGCCAGCCAAGCACATCAGGTGCCCTTTCATTGTCGACAAGGAGAGCAAGAGGGAGAGAGAGAGAATGCAAATGAAGTCTAAAAGTCATTGAAGAGCTTGCGTCCCTGCAGGGCTGTCAGTGCCCTTTCAGCAGCTGTCAAAGTGCTCATATTAGCTCCACTTTGATTGGTTGGTTAAGAATATGTCCGATTTGTTTCATTTTTGCTTTCTAGTAAGTAGAGCTGGGTGGGTTATTTCCAGATGGGTTGGGTTTTACGGCTGAACTTTGCTCTGCAGACTTTGAGCTACTGCTTGACTTTGTTAGGTCAGGGAGATGCGGAGCATTTAATCTGAATACATATGTTAGAAGCACTAATTTATACCCTCTCCAGGTAAAAGAGGAAGAAAAAGTGCAACATTAGTGATGTTCAATAGTGGCAGAGTGGCACTATTCAATAGAATTGAATTCAATCTTCCAGTTGAATTCTATTCTAGTTTATTAATATATTATTTCCACACAATAAAAGGGTTAAGGCAAATTTACTTTCTGATTCAGGATCGTTACAGTATTTTTGCATGTTAAATGTGCCACTATTATTCCCACTTGTAATGAAGACTGGCTTCAAACAAGCACAGAGGGATGCTAAAAGAAACCAAGAGTGATTTTGCTGCAATGTGATTTTCTTTCTCTTTGTCTCCCTCCTCTTTCTTTCTGTGTCCGTCCACCCCTCCTTCTCTACCCTGGTTCCCTGGATGCTGAGCAAACACAATGTTCTCTCTGCAAGATCACAAGACTTATCAAGACAGACAAACAAACAACAGCAATAAGACAACTGCAAATGAAGGCCAATCTTTATACAATCAATAAAAGGAGAAGCTCCTTTAATCTCCCTCTCCGTCCTGCACACTGCAGCCCCTCCTCTCTTTTTCTCTTTCTCCATCCTCTGCCTCTCCTCCTCCACCCACCTACTCCTCCCACCCTCCCTCCTGTTTGCTCCCTATCTCAGTCCTTGCTGTGTTGCTGGGCTGGGCTCAAAGGCAAGGAAAACTGACGCATCGATTATTCATAGATCACCCCTTCTTTCTCTATCTCTCTGTCTTTTTTTCTGCCTTTCTCTGCAGTGCCCACTCTATTTACTACAAGGCTTATGTCAAAGTCTTTGGAGATGAGTTTGGGGAGGGCGAAATGTGCTGCTTCAGGTTGAGTTTTAGTGTGAAAGGCAGGCAGGGGAGTGGTTAAAAACAGAGAGGAGGGGGGGGAAAAAGAGCCTGGTGTTTCCTTCCTCTGGGTGCCCTTGACCCATCTTCTGTTTGAAATCTTCCACTGTGTCTAAGAAAAGATCTGTAGTTGCTTCCTCATCCGTCTTTTCTGTGCCACGGTGGGTTGTGTACGAGAGTGGATTCTCTCTCTTGCTCTACAATTCATTCCCTATGTCTTTTAGTCACCTCTTTGGGTTCTCCAAGGTTATTGTGCTCACGTCAAGCTCTAGTCTTTGCAGTGAGGCTCCAGGCCAGCCTTTGTGTGTGTGTGTGTGTGTGTGTGTGTGTGTATAGTCTGTCCTTCTTAGCCAGCCCTAATAATAGCCCTAGTGTCATAAACATAGTCTGGAGATCCCTGCGGCCAGCTGTGTCCGGCCTAGCCGCCCAGGGCTCCGGTAGTGACGCTGATGAATGGCTACACACACACACTTAGTGTAGCTCCAAGCACATTCCCAGAGCTCTTGCCAAGCCAAAGGCCAAGACCTCCTGCCTCACCACCAAACTGCCCTTTATTCTCTGTGTGTGTGTGTGTGTGTGTGTGCGTGCACGCACGTGTTTTTGGTTTTGTTTTGTTTTTTCTTTCATATTGTTGAGCCGTTTTGGTAAATTACCCCTTTTAGAAAAAACAAAATCATGACTGAGGAACTACCTTCGTGAAATACAGGCAGGATTTAAACAGAGACACTCCAGACAAACAGATTTTCTATGTGGGCATGTGTTGGCTTTCTGCCATTTCATTGTTTATGGCCATATTTTGACAAAGCTGAAGGGCGGTTTCACTTTTGACTAGTCAGAGCAGGGGAAGAAGGTGTAGAAGGGGGACCAGAAAGGTAACAAAGC